ACTGGTCTATCTGACTAGGGCCTGCTCTTTCTTGTATCTTACTGAAATGTCACTCAACTAGTGAACCTCCTTATTGTTCCTGTAATTTCTTCTCTTTTCAATAACCCATCTGTGTCTGACAGCCTGCTTTCTAGCAGCTCAGTGGGAATACGAGTGTTCTTGCCTCATTGTCTAAGGTGCAGACTTTCCATTAATTCTACTGCTCTCAATGAGATGTCTGTCCTCTCCTGCCCTTAATTCCCTGCAGGTAGAGCGTGTCAGATTCAATTTCTTCAAAGAGTAAACTGCTTCCCCTTGTCTGCTGGGATATGAGAGATGGTTGCCTAGTTGATTGAGATGCAGGAAAGAATCTAGTGGTTTTCCTTCTCGTCATATAAACCTTCAAACAATCATGAGCCTTTCGGGAGTTCTGGAATTTAACTGGTTTTGTTTCGTTTTATCATCTCCCTTTGCAAGTTTCCAAAAATTGTCTAAATAATGTAGTAAAGCTTTTACTACATTAATGTGGCAAACCTTGGACTGCCAAGGTTTGAATTCTGGCCCCTTAACCTACTAGGCATTTGACCATGGGCAAGCTACTTAACATCTGTGCTTCAGTGTTCTCGTTTATAAATGGATATGGTAACATAACCTACCTCCTAAGGTTGTTATAAAGATTAAATAACAACCATAAAACATTTAGAGAAGTAAAAGACATGTACACTGAAAACTACAACACATTACTGAAACAAATAAGCACAAATAAATGGAAAGAAATCCCAAGTTTATGGATCGGAAGACATAATATAGTTTAGATGTCAATACCAGCCAAACTGATCTACAGATTTAGTGTAACTACTATCAAAATCTCAATGGCATTGTTTTAAGAAATAGACAAGTGCATTCCAAAATTTATGTACAATCTCAAGGTACTACAAATAGCCAATCTTAAAAAATAACAAAAGTGTAAGTTTTATGCTTCCCGGTTACAAAAACTTATTGCAAAGCTATAGTAATCAAAATAGTTTGGTAATGAAAGAGACATGTAAGGCAATGGAACAAAACAGAGAGCCTAGAAATAAACTCTAACGTATGAGGGAGGACCCTTCACCCCCCCAAAAAAACAAATTATATTCTGGAGGACCAGCCCCTTGTAGTACAGGCTTTCCCTGCTAGGCGAGTATTTTAGGAACCCATCTGTATCAGTATACCAGCTGACATTGTTGTAAAAGGTTGTGTTTGGCTTCAATAATTTTTTTTAAAGACTCTTTGAACCTGTTTGCCTATTTCATGATGACTTATGAGTGCACCTACCCACACTGTGCTGAGTGTTCAGCATTTTTTAACCAAAAATGCCATGACCCCTGTGCTCACCCACCCTCCCAATCTCACCCCAAGTGACTTTTTTTTATTTCTCTGGATGAAAAAAGTCAAGTCCTCAAAGGAAGATATTTTGCTCATGTGGAAGAGGTGAAACAAAAAAGGCTGAAGCACCAAAAGGCATAAAAATCAACAAGTTCAAAAACTATTTTGAGCAATGGAGAAAAACATCTTGCATCAAATGGAGAGTACTCTGAAGGTGACTAAAGTTTAAACATGTAAGAATAAATATTTTATTTATAAATAAATTCTTTATAAATAAAAATTTATAAATTATTTAGAAAAATAAATAAGTGTATTTATTATAAAACAAATGAAAAATAAATAAATTTGGGGGGGTCCCCTCTCATGCAGGATCATATGATTTTTGACAAGAGTGCCAAGACCATTCAACTGAGACAGTCTTTTCAACAAACGGTATAGTTATATGCAAAAAAATGAAGTTGGAGCATTTATTTTACACCATATACAAAGTTGACTTGAAATGTATGAAAGATCTAGAGGACTTCCGCCAAGATGGAGGCAGAGGTGGATATGCGGTGCCTTCTCACACAACCAAGTTTAGAGACAACTAAATATTAGCAACAGAAAACACAGCCAGAACACGGAAAATTGAACTTTTCGGAAGTCTGTTAACAATAAATTCTTCAGCCTGACCGGTAAGGGGCGAAACCAGCAGCTGGTGGAGCGGGGTTGCACAGGAAAACTCGGTCAGACGGACTCAGGCGCGCTGAATCCAGGCGCAGGGTTGGACCTAGTGAGTGACCGAGCAAGCGACCGACCAAGCGAGCGACCTTGGGGGGAACAGCGAGGGAGCAGGGCTGAGGGTTGACTGTGGTTGCACATTTGTGCGTGGATAGACAAGCGAGGGAGTGGGCGATTGGACCTGAACCCAACGGGTCCCCACAGCAAAAGCGGCAGGGAGGGCGCCGCCATTTCCCTACTCTGACCCCACCTCCACATACAGCGTCATAACCCAGCGACTCTGAGTGGCCCGGCCATGGTGAACCACCTAAGGCCCTGCTCGAAACAGCAGAGGGGGTCGCCATTTCCTGGCTCTGACCACGCCCCCGCATACAGCATCACAACCCAGCAACCTGGGAGTCCAAGGCTCCACTCCTCATACTTAAAGGGTGCCAACAGTCCAAAAAAGGCTCAAGAAGATCTCAAAGCCCCAGAGCCTATAAATCTAAGCGATGAAGAAATAGCAAAACTCTCAGACACACAGTTTAAAACACTGGTGATCAGGATCCTCACAGAACTGGTTGATTATAGCCACAAATTAGACAAATTTATGAAGGCGAAACTAATTGAAATGAATGGAATTGCACAGGACACCAATAGCAATGAAAAGGAAACTGGGACTCAAATCAATGGAGTGGACCAGAAGAAAGCAAATAATGGCCAAACAGAAAAGTGTCAAGAAGCAAGAATTCAAAAAAATGAGGAGAGTCTTAGGAACCTCCAGGACATCTTTAAACGCTCCAACATCCGAATTATAGGGGTGCCAGAAGGGGGAAAGGCACAGCCACCAGTGGAAAACTTATTTGAACAAGTAATAAAGGAGAACTTCCCCAATCTGGCAAAGGAAATAGACTTCCAGGAAGTCCAGGAAGCCCAGAGAGTACCAAAGAAGTTGGACCCAAGAAGGAACACACCAAGGCACATCATCATTACATTAGCCAAAATTAAAATGAAGGAGAGAATCCTAGAAGCAGCAGGAGCTAAGGGGACAGTCACCTACAAAGGAGTCCCCATCAGACTGTCAGCTGATTTCTCAAAAGAGACCTTACAGGCAAGAAGGGGCTGGAAAGAGGTATTCCAAGTCATGAAATCCAAAGACCTACAACCAAGATTGCTCTATCCAGCAAAACTTTCATTTAGAATGGAAGGACAGATAAAGTGCTTCTCAGATAAGATCAAATTCAAGGAGTTCATCATCACCAAGCCCTTATTATATGAAATGTTAAAGGGACTTATCGAAGAAAAAGAAGTTACAAGAAACATGAACAGTGAAAGGACAACAAACTCACAGTTATTAACAACCACACCTAAAACAAAAGCAAACTAAAAGGACAGCTAGATCAGGAGTGGAAACATAGAAATGAAGATCTCAAGGAGGGTTAGCAACAGGGGAGTGGGAGGAGGAGAAGGGGGGAGAAGGTACAGAAAATAAGTAGCATAGACAGTAGATAGAAAATAGATGGGGGGGCAAGAATAGCATGGGAAATATAGAATCTAAAGGACTTGAGACACATGGTCATAAACTAAAGGGGGGGAATGGTGGGGATGGGGGGGTAGGGTGAAGGGGAATGAGGGGAGAATAGAACAACTGTAATGGCATAATCAATAAAAAAATTAAAAAAAAAAAGAAATGTATGAAAGATCTAAATGTAAGACCTAAAAGTATAAACCTCTTAAAAGAAAAAAAAAAACAGGAAAAAGCTTCATGACATTGAATTTGGCAGTGATTTTTGGCTACGATGTAGGAATCACAGGCAACAAAAGTAAAAAGGATAAATTGAACTACATTAAAATAAAAAACTTCTGCCCTGGCTGGTGTAGCTCAGTGGATTGAGCACGGGCCTGTGAACCAGACAATCGCGGTTCGATTCCCAGTCAGGGCACACACCGGGTTGCAGGCCGGTTCCCTGCAGGCCAGTTCCCAGCAGGGGATGCATGAAAGGCAACCATACATTGATGTTTCTCTCCCTCTCTCCTTCCCTTCCCCTCTAAAGATAAATAAATAAATAAATAAATAAATAAATAAATAAAAAACTTCTGTGCATCAAAGGCTAGAATCAACAGAGTAAAAGGAAACCCAGGGAATGGGAGAATATATTTGAAAATAATGTATCTAACAGTAATTAATATCTACATATAAAAAGAAATCCTGCAACTCTACTATATCAAATAACTCGAATTTAAGATGAAGAAAGGATTTAAATAGACATTTCTTCTAAGAAGATATAGAAATGGCCAATGAGCACATGAAAAGATGCTCTAGAAGCAGAGGAAAATCAAAGAACTTCCATTGTTATTTTATCAAATATGGCGCTTTTTGTTTTATAATGAGAATGTAATGCTTATACAATTAAACATTTTTTTTTTAGAATCTAATGAATAAACTGAAATATAACAAGCCAAAGAGAGAAAGACTCACAGAGAACAAGGATGATTGCTACAAGGGGTTGGTTAGGGGGTGGAGGGCTCCAGTAAAAAGGAAAAGGAACTCATGGACATGGACAACAGTGTGGTGACTGCCAGGGAGGGGGAGGAATAAGGGGGATAAATGGTAATGGGGAAAATACAATAAAAAAATAAATAATTGTCAAAAAAAATTTAAGGTACAATCGGGAAATTATTTTCACCCATTATTCCTCAAAAAAGGTAATTCATGGATCACTGCAACATCAAATGTTATAATATTTAACAAAGTAATCCAGTCAATGTGCCTATAAGTAAATTTACAATAATCTAACAATGGTAAACTCCAAATGAATGTCTTTTAAATTGTGTCAAAATCATGTGAGAGGATACCTATTTGCTATCAAAGGATTAGCCCTGCAACCCTGAACTCATCAACAAAATCTAAAAGGGCTTATTTGACTTTTCAGCCACAGAACAGGCTTATCATTTACCTTCATTAAGATACAAACAGCACAAGCCATGCCTACAGCACCAACTCCAACAACGGTGATCTTCCGCTGGGAGATTTTATCTTCCTTAATCAGATTCTCAATAAGCTGCTCCTTGATCGTTGACATTTTGAGAACCTGAGAGAGAGAATGCAATTTCAGCGGAATCGAACTCCCTAAATCAATCACTCTCACAGTTACTGATGTGCTTCATCACACTGAACAACTAAGAAACTACCCCTTGAGTCCAGAAAGCTGGAGCGGAGATTGAGGGAAAGCCAAAGAAAGAATTTCCTGGTTGAGGGGTGTGGAGAGGTGGAGCAAGGGCCGGCCTACCAGCTGCAGGCAGTTGGGGCCCCAAAAGCCTTTTTGATTTCTCCCGACCCTCATCCTCCACTTTCGCCCCTTTCCCAAACACTCACAAATGCTCTGCTTGGCGCAACTCAGTACAGACCCCCTGAAAGCATAACACACAGCCTTTAAAGATTTTTAAAAACAGTAACCCCAGAAAAGAACACCAACGGCTTAACGTCAGGAAAACAGCAACGGCAGCCGAGGTGCGAAGGCCAGCGACGGTTTGCTCGGAACGCTCACGCCAGCACGTTCCCTCGTACGTCTGTCCACGGGCTCCGCCCCCGGCCCACTCGGCGCAGGCGCATTGAGGGATGCTTGCGCTCCTCTGGGTGTGAGCGAGCTCTTCGGATAACTGCGGGTGCAGTCTCGTGATGTCTGTGTAAGGAGTTATAGATGTTCATGAAGCGTGTGCAAGAGAGGTAATTGGAGAGTTTTCATTTACTTCAGCTGGCCTAGCCCTTGGACTGATTTTGGGGCCGTGGCTTCTTCGGAGACCCCACAACCACCGGGGCGGGGTCCAGACCCCCGTGGGAAAGAACCCTCTTAGGAGCTAGCACCTGCTAGGGCGCTGGTGGCTTAAAACAGCATCCTGCGGGAATTACTTCCAATTCGTGAGGTGAGGTCGAAAATTGGCACCTAGCTGGGGAAGACCGTCAGTGTAGTTGAAAGGCATGCTAAAAGAACCAGGGCCCAGCCCTGGTTAGTGTGGCTCAGTGGACTGACTGCCAACCTGTGAACCAAAGGGTCGCTGGTTTGATTCCCAGTCGGGGCACATGCCTGGGTTGTGGGCCAGATTCCCCAGTGGGGGCACAGGAGAGGCAGCCACACATTGATGTTTCTCACTTTCTCCCTCCCTTCCCCTCTGTCTAAAAAGCAAGTAAATAAATCTTAAAAAAAAAAAAAAGGATCTGGAGGGCAAGGATAGAAATTTAAGTGAAGTGTGGGCTTGTGAGTGACCAACCTGACTTTGAGAGTTTATCACACACTTGTCCAAACATTCATTGGCAGTAATTTTTTAATTTATTATTAAGCTCGTTAATTTCAGGTTTGAATGGTGAAATAATGTTAGAATTTCTGTTGCAAAAAAACAAAGTAATAATGAAAAGGAAAGGCCACGTCTGATCTTTAAGGGCATTTAAATTTATGCAAAGAATTTATTCATAACTCACACAAGGGAACACAACCTCCTCTGTCATTTTTTTGTCATTTGCATTCGAATACTTTTCAAAATCTAAGGGGTAATTTATTTTCTGTGTTAAAGCCTGTGTTGTTATTTTATTGTATTTTTTAGTGTGTTTTTAACATAGTTCAGATCATGCTATAACCCTGTTCAAAACGTCAATAGCTTTCCATTCCACTTAAATTAACCAATTTTTAAACCTAAGAGACATTCAAAATTTAGCCTCCTTCTACCTCTCCAATTCATCTCAAAACATTCTCATCACTCTCTCTCTCTCCAAGTTTTGCCAACTTTTTCTTGGCACAAGAATTTTTTTCTCTTTTTTCTTAATGTCTTTTTTTAAAAATATGTTTTACTGATTATGCCATTACAGTAGTCCCATTTCCCCACCTTCATTCCCCCCCGCCCTGCACACCCCCTCTCCCCATTCCCCCCCTTTAGTTCATGTCCATGTGTCACAAGTTCTTTAGATTCTATATTTCCCATATTATTCTTGGCCTCCCCCAGTCTATTTTCTACCTACCATCTATGCTACTTATTCTCTGTACCTTCTCCCGCCTTCTCCTCCTCCCACTCCCCTGTTGCTAGCCCTCCGTGTGATCTTCATTTCTATGGTTCTGCTCCTGATCTAGCTGTCCTCTTAGTTTGCTTTTGTTTTAGGTGTGGTTGTTAATAACTGTGAGTTTGCTGTCCTTTCACTGTTTATCTTTTTTATCTTCTTTTTCTTCGATAAGTCCCTTTAACATTTCATATAATAAGGGCTTGGTGATGATGAACTCCTTGAACTTGACCTTATCTGTGACTTTTTCTGAGAAGCACTTTATCTGCCCTTCCATTCTAAATGAAAGTTTTGCTGGATAGAGCAATCTTGGATGTAGGTCCTTGCCTTTCATAACTTGGAATACTTCTTTCCAGCCCCTTCTTGCCTGTAAGGTCTCTTTTGAGAAATCAGCTGATAGTCTGATGGGAACTCCTTTGTAGGTGACTGTCCCCTTATCTCTTGCTGCTTCTAGGATTCTCTCCTTCATTTTAATCTTGGCTAATGTAATTAGCCATGTGCCTTGGTGTGTTCCTCCTTGGGTCCAACTTCTTTGGGACTCTCTGAGCTTCCTGGACTTCCTGGAAGTCTATTTCCTTTGCCAGATTGGGGAAGTTCTCCTTTATTATTTGTTTAGATAAGTTTTCCACTTGTTGGTCTTCCTCTTCCCCTTTGGTACCCCTATAATTCGGATGTTGGAATATTTAAAGATGTCCTGGAGGTTCCTAAGCCTCTCCTCGGTTTTTTTAATTCGTCTCTTCATTCTTTTCTGTTTGGTCGTTTTTTTCTTCCTTCTGGTCCACTCCATTGATTTGAGTCCCAGTTTCCTTCCCATCACTATTGGTTCATTTCACTTAGTGTAGCCTTCATTTTTCTCATCTAATTTGCAACCAAAATCAGCCAGTTCAGTGAGCATCCTGATCACCAGTGTTTTGAACTTGCATCTGATAGGTTGGCTATCTCTTGGTCACTTAGAAGTATTGGCTCTGGGGCTTTGAGCTGTTCTTCTTCTTAAGCCATAATGTTTTGGTCTGTTCATGCCTGTTATGTATGAGGGGTGGAACCCTAGGTGTTCACCAGGGTGGGGCAACCCAGGTCACTGGGTTGTGATGCTGTATTTGTGGCTGGGGTCAGAGAGGGGCAAAGGCGTTTGTTCCACTCTCTCAGATTTTGGTCCCCTCTGCTGCTTCCTGCAAGCAAATTGGGCCCTTCTGGTGGTGCTTCCCTGATGAGTGGGCTTGTGCACCCTCCAGATCTCTGTGGGTCTCTCCAACGAACTCTCTGTGAGCCTGGGAGTCTCTCCCAGCACCTCAACCCCTGAAAGTTTTTCCAATTGGTGTTTTTAGGCTTTATTTTCCAGTGCTGGGGCCCTGGGTTGTGTGGTCTGTCTCACTGCTCTCTCCTTTGCCTGGTTTATCTGTGCTCGAATGTGTGACTGCGGTCAGCCAGCCACCCTGCGCCCTCACTGGGTCTGCCCATTGCCACCCCATGCCTGGGATCTTCCAGCTGCTGCCTGCTTTTTCCTGCTGCGACCAGTCTCTGCTTACCGCCGACTTTGCCCCTCCTTCTGGTCTGGATGAATGGTTCGTTGTTGTGGGACTTCGGTACAGTTCAATTTTCTCTATGTTTAGGTTGTGTTCTGGTTTCTAAATCTGTTGTTCATAAATTTGGTTGTGCAAGGAGGTACAGTGTTTCCACCTATGCCGCCTCCTCGGCTGGAAGTCCACAGCACAAGACTTTTTGATGGACATGGACAATAGGGTGGTGATTGCAGTGGGGAGGCGAGTATAAGGGGGTAAATGGTAATGGAAAGAAATACAATTTAAACAAATTTTAAGGCTTTTTGCTGTTCCCTATACTGGAAAGTTCTTACCCAGCCCTTTTCCAAGTTGATTGCTCATTTTCCATCTTGAGCATAAATCTCATTTCCTCTAGCTTTCATTGACCAATGTGTCAACTACTGCCACATCCCTAAAAACTTCCTTTTCCTCTTGTGGCACTTTAACAACCTACTGCCAGCCCCAAACAAGAGGTGTCTGCGGGTAGACAGGAGCAGCAGCCGCTGTTGGTCTGTACTGCCACTTAACTTGTGTGCTTCCTTCCAGAGCGACTCTATCTACCCTTGTACATCTTTTACCGTGAGGCTCAGAGGGAGATCCTGCTGAAAGGGATGACCTCCAAATTCAGGCTGTACACCTGCTTCATGCCCCTGTTTGCTTCAGGAGACATCAGCTGGTAGTGACCAAACTGCTCCAACTGAACACTCTTCATTCATACCTGCCGGAGGTGCAGGGCATTGGCAGGAGCCGACATCCTCTCTGCCTGCGTGGGTTCTCTGGTGGCTGTGATCCAAGCAAACCTATCATTTTGCTATATTGCAGCAATTTAATACAGGAGTGCCATGATTTGTCTGGCATATTCCAACATCTACCAAAGTATAGTAGGAAAAGAATTTGAAAGAACATGGCTCTGAAGTCCTGATAATTTTCTCAATGTAGGCTTTAGCGGGGGAAAAATCTACACATTCACATACTACACACACATGTATAGATGTAGGCCTACATGGAAGGAGGACCATGCTCTGAACATTCCATTTTTCTTTCCACACTAACTGGCAATTTGTGTGAGATGGGGCTAAGACCTGCTTAATCCACTTCCCAGGGTTTAAGACTAAGATAAGATCATATTCCATTAAAAAGACTCGGGGCTCCTTGAAGAGTTGGCCCACTCCTTGCCTGAGACAGGAAGATTCAAGGTGTCCCCGGAACACTGATAATGACAGAAAGCAAGAAAGCTTTACAAGATTAAATCTGAAAATTTATAAAAGATTAGTCTCTCCTAAGCATTATTTTTCACTTATGTTGCTGTTGACTAATTTATTGCATCAAGCAATATGAAATTAATAATGTATTTTTTTAAAAGACTAAATATGCTTAACTTAAAAGGCTCCAGGAATAAGTACAGATTTTTTTTATGGGGAAATTTAAAAGTCCTGCAATTAGATACTGGTGATAGTGCACAACTACGTGGATTCTCAGAATTGTACACTTTAAGAGTAAATTTTATGGTATGTTACATCTTAAGGCTGTTTTTGAGAACCTATCGGAAAGCAAATTTTGTAATTGTTAATTGTCAAGACTACGTAAGTCTTGTCATTTTACGTTTAAGAATTTCTTCCCTTACCTAGCTAGCTCTCAAGAAGGAAATTTTGGGAGAGATCCTAGAGAAGTGATAACCATAAAGTTGTTCTAGTTAACCTCTGGAAGTACAGTTTTTAGGCCTGGATAAGGGTCATAATTATGGAAATATTTTAAGAAATCTAAAGAAAATGTTTGAGTAAACAACCACCAGGTCATTTGGCATAAAATTCTTAAGTACAGTAGTCCCCCCATTTATCTAGTCTCACTTTCCATGGCTTGTTACCCAGTCTGAAAATATTAAATGGAAAATTCTAGTAATAATTTATAAGTTTTAAACTGCACACCATTACAAGTGA